GTCACAAGCATAATCTCGCCAGACGCGAGCGCAGCAGTTGCATCTGTCAATGTTGCGTTCACCGGCAATTCGTTGAGCACAACGCCAGCGGTGAAGTCACGCCAAGCTCCCGCGGCTTGCTGCTCGAGCTTCGTGAGGAAAACCGAGCCGCTGGCAGTCTGGAGCGACACGATTGACGAAGTGCGGTACGGCTGCGGCTTGGCGTGGGGCCCGGGCGCGTTGAGGCACGAGGTCACGAGCTCGTAGCTGTCGGTCGAAGTATCCACCGGCGACGCTGCAACGCGGAAGCCAGCGTGCTGGAAAAAGTGCGGACGGAAATGGTACCGCGCAAACTTGGAGCCACCGTTGTCGCCACTGCTCATGTACGAGCCGCCCATGATTACGTGGTGCTCGCCGTCAAAGCACGGCACGGTGAAGTCGTCGTAGACCGGGTGGATCTCGAAGCCCGGAAGCGGGCTCATGCGGTCCTCGCACCACTCCCACGCGTTGCCAAAGACGTCTCGAAAGCCGTTGCTGTTCGCGGGGTGTGCATCGACGGGTGTAAAGCTTGCAAACGCCACGTTCGTGTTGCGGCCCAACGCGGAAGCCATAGTCGCAGCTGCCGGCAGCTTCAAGATCGCGTCGCTCTGGTCGTTGGCCCGCTCGTGCTCCTCGCGCATGAGGTGGTGCATCGGCTCCGTGAGCACGTGGTACACTTCGTCGGACGCCTCGTCTTTGGCTTGCTTCCACTTGCAGTATGCGTGCGCTTCATGGAGGTTGACTTGGGCCGGCCAGTTCCATTGCATCGGAATTTCGTCGAAAATGGCTCGGAGCATGTACTCGTGACTGCCTTGCGGACCGTCTGGGCGCCAAAAGGCGGGCCATTTCGTGTTGCGGTATGAGCGCCACGCCCACCCCGTTGTCGTCCAGTACGAGGGATTGAGATACCCGGAGTCCTTGACAAACTGCCAGAACTCGCCGTTCGACACGAGCTGCGACGATGCACGGAACGGCCCGACCTCAACGTCCTTGGCGCCGTACTCGTTGTCCCAGCCAAACGACGGGTAACTCGTGTTCTTCCCCAAGTGCACGGCCCCGCCGGCAACGGTAACCATCGAGTTGGACGGGAAGTCGGTGCCTTCGACTGGTACCTTGGATCGGACGCGGCTGGCGCTGTCGTGATACGCCGGGAAGAGCGCCGGCTTCTCAAAGTTATCAACGTTGTGCTCTTGCATGAGCATCGACGACGTCTCGAGATGGATACGGTCATGCTCCATTGCCATAAAAAGCGCCCAAGTCTGCGACGCCGGCGTAATCGGTGCGTGGCCATCCTCGAGCTCTGGGTGCGACAGCACAATCGATTTGATGAGGCCGTACACCTGGCGCCGATACGCTTGCATATCGTGGAGGCACGGCCATTCCTTCTCATTCTTGGACATATCGTCCCAGCGCATCTCATCAACGCCGACCTCGAATAGGTCCTCGAAGCCCGGGTTCACAGGACCCTGGAGCAGGCCGGCGAGGCGGCACTTGTTGACGTAGAAGCAGGTCGGGTGCCCGTAATAAAAGGCCATCGGGTGACGTAGGCCGTGCGGGGGCGGGACGACAAAAGCCTCTTCGTTCTGGAAGCTCGAGAAGAGCATGTCCGTGAGTGCCCACGTGTTGTCCAAGTAGTCGAGAACGTCCTGGCGCGTGCACGTGGCGAGGTTCGTCATGGCGACTGAATGCAGTCGCCCGTCGTCGAGGAGGCCGGGGAACGCAGGGTCGTTGAATGGCGTGCGCGGCGTTGTCGTGTACCAGTCGACCTCGGGCTGGATTCCGGATGCAGCCTCGATCGTGATCGCCACCTCGTCATTCGTGTTCTGGCGCGCCCGCACATGGACGTGCTGAGCACGGTCACGGCGAGGCAACTCCTTCGGGGCTTTCTGGTGATGACCGAGTGGCCCCGTAGGAGTCGACACCGCAGAGAGCGCACGGGCAAAATGGCGCTTGTTGGAGGTCACAAAGCGGCGCGGGAAGGACGTGATCGGCAACATACTTTAGCTGAGTTGGTCGTTCGCAGAGGTAATGGGAAATGACCATGGCCGGGGTCCAAGCGTGGGCTCGAAATAGAACAAGCAGCAGCGCCAACGTCCTTCCTCGGACGTCGTTGGACGACAGCGGAAAGTGCACTCAATCATGCACCATACGTTATTGCTATCAAGAGCATCTCAGGTCCATCCACTGTAACACCCGCATTGGAATATTAAATTGCGAAAAATCGACGAAGAGACGTCCACACTCGGGGTTCCTGAACGACAACCCGCGCGCCGTCTCGATGTTCGATTGAGGTGTGATGGACACAGCAACAACAACAACAGTGTGCTGCCGCCCCAAGGGCTAAATAACGTTTGATTTTGCAAGCCGCTGCATGTTGAGTACTAGTACGCTGTACGGTATTGGCATCTGACGTGGCACGCTGTCGCTTGGGTAAAAGATACTACGCAAGCCACACGCAAGTGCAGTGGGTGCAGACGGTCGCCACAACCTTGATTCCGCCCACCGCATCTGCACCTGGTTCTAAGATGCGATTGAAGTTCAAACTGATGCGATGAGGTTCGAGCGAGCAACAAACGATTGTTCGCCTCAAAGTCGCACGCTCAGCTCGTGCGCTCAAGGCCAATTTCTGCACTTGATCACATTTGACCCATCCATTCAAATGGGACTCGCTGACGACACCATACACAGTAGCGCAAGTCGCGCTGGTCTTCTTCGGACCTCATATGCTTCAAAATGCTGCAATCCAGGGGGTGCACATCACGACGACATGGGGCTGCGATCACGAGTGCCAACGTTATGAGACCGTTGCTACCAGGAGTGCGCAAGTGAAGTCGAATGGCTTCGCATGTTTGGTTCGACCGACGCGACGACGTCCACCGTCGTCGGGACAAACGTGCGAAAGATATGTCACCTGCCCACGGGCGAGCTTTCCCAACGGATAGCGGGTTCAAATCCAGCTGCGCGCATGCAAATTCAATTGGCCGACCTCTGTGAACAAAACAGAAAAACCTGTAGGAAATATCTCAATAGACTCATTCCAACAACAACGGGCGAGCTTTCCCAAATTTTTCACGTTTTACACCTTTCACACACACCAGTGATGACAAACAGCAACGAAGAGCTCGACGAGGGGCTCGCGCGGCTCTTTGGGCCAGCGCGGCGCAAGAGGAAGCGGGGGCGCGAGATATCGGAAGCGGAGGCGGTCGCGATGATCAAGAAGAGCGTCCGAGACGCGCCCAACCAAGCGCTAGCAGTGCGGCGCGCCCTCGCGTCCATTCTTGCAGCGCTGCAGAGCGTTGCGCCGCCAATGCATCACGTCTCTCCCTCGATCAGCGCTGCGCATGCTCAAGTTGAACCATAGGTCATTGCCGTTCTCTCGAGCCTCTTTTCCCGCTCCAAAGTGTTTCGCGACGAATTCGTTCGAGCGATGTACCCCATCTTCTCCCTCTGGGCGTCCAAGCGACTGTACTCGGTGGAGCTCCTCGAGCTGCTAGAGCACTGGGATGCGCAGTATCGATCAACATACCCCCAGCTTCATGCAGCGATCGAGGCAATACCGCCCAAGTTCAAAGGTCTTCTACACGACCACCGAGCAAAGGCACGCGCAGCGACTGAGGACGCTGCAGCGACGACCCGCATGACTGAGATTCAGTACACGCACGTATGCTCCGAATTGGGAGATGCGGAAACAGCCATCGGTCTTGTATTGCAAGAGATGGAAGCGGGCCTTGCCATACTCGTGCCAACGGTCGAAGACAAGTTTGAGGCGCTCCTGCCGACGCTACCACCCGTGACCGAGGTCCTTCACAGCGACGACAACGATGACGAAGAGTGGGAAGACGTTGTGCCGTCATCCGTTGTTGCGCACACCTCTGCGGCGCACTTGACGCTCGCGGACGTTATTGCTCAGTGCGGTCTCGGTAGCGCCGCGTACTCGCTTACAATTACGGTGCCTGCCCTACACGCACCAGCGCCGTCACTCGAGCACGTACAGACTGCCGTCAAAGAGGGCGCCCTCCATCTTCGCAAAAGGTATTTACCACTGCTTCGGCAATGGGAGACAACAGTCAACGCACATGCGTTCTCGTCGCCTGACGTTCGTCGACGTCTTCAGAAACTCCACGACAACGTTCGATCGACCCTCCTCAAGTGGGACGAGCTTCGTGAAATGATCTCTCTGAATACAAACTCGGTCTAGTTTTACTGATGTGCAATTATAAAGTCGTACGTAGTATGGTACACAGAGGCTTGCGAGTGGTACCCACTAGCGCACTGATTTCGGCTTTCCCTGGGATTGGTACAGTCGGTGGCGAAAGTACGCGAGCTCGAGATCTCCAATGAGCTGCCGGATCGCGTACTGCTCGTCCATGAGCACCCACGAGCCCACGAGTGCCTATGATGCATGAAGGTCAAAAGGCACTTCGGCCAAGGCTCGAACAAACCAGAAATCCGGACGAGTCGAGAAAGTCGGGCACGTCCTGGGTGCGAAGCGATTCCATCACCTCTTGGACTGCGTCTGTGAAGTACGTCTTGTCCGCCTGGTTCAAGTTGGACACGATCGCGTCATGGAGGTGTTCGGGCAGCTGGATAGGGTGCCGCGACGTGTTGACATTGATGTACTTGTCGATGATCTTTTTCGCACTCCGCAGCACAATTTGGTACGATGGCAGACGCCGAAATTCCTCGACCTAAAGTATACACTTTAGCTATAAAGTATCGGAGCCGACGCACCTCTTCGTAGAAGATGAGGTTTTCGACGCAGTGCTGCGAGCGAAGAAACTTCTTGAAGTTGCCGACATACTGCGGGTTGGCCAAAATCACCTCCAAGTGAGGCATCTCCAGCATGCCTGCGACGTGTTGTGTTGACTGAAAGCTGATGCAAACATACCTTTGGTCACAGCGGCAGCGATCTCCGATCCCAACTGAGGGTCGGTCGTGCCAAGCTTGAGCTCCGCAAACGTCGAGGACTTGAAGTATCGTAGCAACGAGTCGCGCAGAAGCCCTAGGACAGCAGACTCGGGAATGATTTTCCATAATTTTGTAGCAGTGTCTACCCTGCTTGACGTGAGCGACCACAGGCTTGAACATGTCGATGGTTGGGGACGAGAGCTTCGCAACAATGTCTTGACGCAGCTTGGTGCTCATGTCGACTTGAAGCTTGGCCGACTCGGCAACGTACTTTTTGTAGAGCTTCTTGGCCGTGTGGTGCATAAATTCAATGCCTGGTAGCGTGTTGAACTCGTCCACTTCATCGATAAACGCGACACAATGGTCCTTGGCGCGCTTGCCCAGGAATGCCTTGAACGCTCGGTGTGCAATCTTGTCGTGAAGCAGCATAACGACCGGGTCGACCTGGACCGAGCTCGCCTTTCCGACGTTTGCAAGCGCCGAAACTGGGATAGCCATCGCCCGATTGTATAGTCTACGCATGTTCGCACTCAGTCGCAGAACAGCGAAATTCTGCGGACTCTGTCGGGTCAGTCTTATCGAGCTGCGCCATGAGCACGCGCATTTGTTCCTCTGTGATGGCTGGGTGGTAAGGATCCCAGTGCTGGGGCCCCGACGTTGACGTCGATTGCTGCTGCGTGTAGGCTAGGTACTCTGGCGAGTGACTACGGTACATCCATGAATCAAAGTTGACGGCAACTCACTTTGCGAACCTGAAGGGACCCCAAAGTTCCAGGCGCATGTACTCGACGACCATGTACTGTGCGTCATGGTACATAATGGGGTCAAACGTGCCCTCGCTCTTGGCCGTCATCTCTTCGTGCATCGCCGTAGATAAGTTGATGAATCGCTTGGCACCTTCCTTGATGTACGTGTCGTAGATTTTGCGCGCACGCGCTTGGATGTACGACTGGTTGGGTAGGCGCTTGCATTCCTCGACCTCGCAGTAAAACACGAGGTTCTCTGCAACCAGAGTCATAAAATAGCACAAACCCAGACACGATTTCTGTACCCGCAGTGCGCGATTCGATGCAGTAGGTCTTGAAGAAGCGCAGCTTGGTCTCGTCGCTCAAGACGGCTTCAAAACTGTAGCTTGAGTCGACGTCCAGCGGAAGCCTACCCCCGTGGTCACTTGAATCCTCTGTCACGTTACGTACGCGTCGGGCTGCCCAACGCACGAGCGCGCCGAAGGGTGGCGGTCACCCTCTTGCTCGCAAAGCGACACCATATTCTGGAAAAGTGCGTGCTTGCGGAATCGTGGAAACACGTCCTTCTCCAGGTCCCGCTTGCATAGCGCTTGCGCCTCATTGAACGTTCCTAAGTACTTCTCAGCATCCAGTATAACTCACAAAATAGGGCAACGTACCTGCCGACTGGATACCGCCCGGTGCCTCGTACAATGCACGCAAGTCCGCGAGCATCTGTGTCGGGACACAAATTGGGGTCGCCGCAGACGGACTGACAAATTTTTCGTAGATTTTCTTGAGCATGCGGTCTGTGTACTGGGCACTCGGTAGCGACCGGTAGTTTTGAACGTCAGCCCAAAAGTGGAGGCGATCCACAGCCAGCGGAATGTCCTTGGCAAAGGCGACGAGGAGCTTGAACGTGGCGGGGTCCACAAGCACGTCGATCGTAAAGGCCATCGAGAGCTCTTCCACAAGCTCGCGCGTGATTGTCGGTCGACGGTACTTGGTGTGGTCTTGCTTGAGCGTCGTTGGAATGGTCTTCATGCTTTGGCTCACTTGACGAACGTGTTCTTGCTGGGTCGCAGACGTCACATCGACGTAGCTTAGGGACGAGAGTTTGCCCAGCGACGGGTTGCTTGGGCTTGCCTGCAAACTCGGGTCGTCCGACATCTGGACAACCTTGTCGCTCGCTTCGTCAAGGGTCTAGACACGCCTGTTAGCCAACAAAATCACTGTTGAGGTCTGAACTACCCGGGCCGAATCGGGTAGCTCATCATTTAGGAGCTGAATACGCGCTTGGATCTTGGCAAACACCTCTTCGTCCGGCAGTTGCTGATCGGCGCCAGCTGCTGTTTCCTACACCACCATCGTCGTCGCTATTGCAGGAAATCTCACGCGTACCTCGCGGACGATGGCAAGGACGTCGTCCTGTCCAACCGACGCACCTGCTCCCATTCGACTTCAAAACTGGCGCCCACGGTTGCCACCTAAAAATACCCTGTCTCCGGTTTCTTTCGTACGTGGCGCCTCGGCACCCACGTCAACAACAAAGCAGCTTCTACTAGCGTCGTTGACGCCACTACGCCATTTTCCCGCGCATTTTTTCCCTTGAATTCCAACTCAAATTTACCTTTGGATCGGCTGGCTTGAGCGACCGATGCCCACGTCCACCCAGACGTCCACCGGTCGTTGCCACCAAGGATGAGTTTCATCTATAAATAGCCTCGCCAACGCCCGCACGGCGTCCATGTCCTTTCTGTCATGGGGGGCAGCGCGTCTGTGGGCCGCAACCTCCAATCGTTCGAGGATGAGGTGCGCTGCTGCGACCGCCGCCAGTGACGCTAACGCGACGGTTGCGTCATAGCATGTGCGCAACGAGAAGGAGACATCGACCAAGATCAAACCGCGCCTTATCGCGATGGAAAAGGTACCCTCGATAAGAACGATCATCAAGTGCTACTCATGTGTAGGAAGCTGTGTACCGCATCAAGCCGGGCGCGGACGCCGTTGTCGACGAGAGTGCGCCACCTCCGGAAGATGTAGCCTCGAAAAAAGACTTTTACGCGCCGCTAACTCCATCGATCTTTGGCAACGCGTCCCGCTCTCCTCGTCTGCGCTCGCTGAGCTACGAAAAGCTGCCACAGTCGGCCACCGAAGTTCGGAAAAGTGCTGCTGCAGGCACGGTGCCGATCCACACTGTTGACCACACAAAGTACCTAAGGGGCTCGCTGCACGCTAATCTCGCCAACGACATGACAATGGCGTTCACGATGGACGTGCTTTTTGACCCCGTGACGATCAAGCTCATGGTCGCTTACTGCCACAGTATTCCGTTCGCGTCCGACCGGCTGCTTTTCTGGGCCGACGTCCAGCACCTGCGGTCCCTTCCCAGTGCTCAGTACACGGATCGCATGCTCCAGAAGATCTACCACAAGTTTGTGAGCGCCGCGGCTCCGACGCCAATCTGTGTACCCACCAACGTCCTTCGCGAGATCCAAAAGACGTGCGAGTCAACAGCTGGCATCCAGTCCGCGGGTGCGTTCTATTGAATTGGATGGCGCCTAACCACAGCACAGGCGTCTTTGCCGAGGCGCAAGCGCTTTGCCTCCGCGATCTCAAGAAGGACGTGTTTCCTCGGTTCCGAAAGCACAAACTCTTCCACTCCATGCAATCGGCGTGTGAGACGCAGGCGTCGGAGAAGAAGCCTCGCTCGCGCTTTGCTTTACTCCGCGAGAAGCCTTCGTGCGACGCTTGAGCGCCACGCGTTGGTCTGATGACGGCGTTTGTAGACTGCCAATGTTCCAGTACGACAGCAACTACAGCTTCGAGGCTGTCATGGCCGACAAGTGGAAGTTGCGTTACTTCAAGAGCTATTGCATCGAAAACATGTCATCCGGTGCGTCGCGTCACCCGCCATTGCATTCGACTTACAACGTGCAAATTAGAAAACCTCCTCTTCTTCCTCGAAGTCGACGAGTGCAAACGCCTCCCCAACCAGTCCTTCGTTCAGGCCACGGCGCGCAAGATCTATGACACGTACCTCAAGCCTGGTGCGAAGCGGTATCTGAATCTCTCCATACGCCTGCACAATGAGTTTGCCATTCCGGACGACGCGTCTTTTGAGCCCTCGGTGTTCTTCGACGCACAATACCTCGTGCTCGAGTACATTCGCGTCGAGCTCTGGCCGCGCTTCAGGTACCGACAAATCCTATTGCAAAGTCTCATGCTCTCGTTAGCGTCTCGGAGCCGTACATTAAATACTGCCAAACCGAGGCCGTGTCGCCTCAACCGTGGGACGAGTACCACCCCGAAATCTCGGCTGAGCAAATGGAGACGCTTATGGCCGAGCTGGATGCAATGAGTCCATCCGTGTACGTTTCTGAGTTCGAGTGTATCCGAGTTTGATAAAAAAATTCAGGCTTATCCAACGAGCGCTGTCTGTCCCTGTCGAAGCCATCGCCAACGCACCAAAGCCTCTGGCGCCAAACACACTCATGCTCCTCCTCCACGACAAGCTCGGACACCGAGCCTTCAAGCAGTTTTTGTCCGTAAAGGGAAACGCCCACTACGTTGCATTCATCGACGAGGTGACTCGAGTCGCAGCGCGTCGCGAATTCACAAATTTCTGCAGGTCGACGAGTACGAAGGTCTACCCGGCATTGAATTTATGCAGCACACGGCAAAAAAACTGTACAAAAAGTACCTGAGCGAGTCCTCCAAGCTCCAAGTCGATACCAGCACCAAGATGCGCCAAGAGATCGAGACCAAGCTCTCGTCGCCAACCATCGACATGTTTAAAGCAGTTGTCGCCCGCGTAAAGCAGGGTCCCCTAACCAGCTTTGTTTATCTGCTTGCAAACAATTTCGCTCCGTAGGGCTGCTACGAGACGCCTTGCGCCGGTACCTCAAGTCGCCGATATACCTCGAGCTCAACCTCCAAGATTATAACCCAGAGTTGGCAAAGGAGCTCGACGAGGCTGTAGCACGAGGTAGCGATTCGATTGTGGATGGCGTGAAACTGGGTGCTAGGAAAGCTGGAAATCCCGCATCTGGAGATCTTCCTATCGGACGCCGCTTTCCTCGCCAACTTCAAGAGCTATTGCAAGAGCCAGCACTGTGTCGAGAACCTCCTTTTCTGGGAAGAAGTACGACGCAGCATCCCTTCGTTTCGAGCTCAGTTTCGCTAGGTCGAGGAATTCCGAAGGCTGCCGTCCAACCAAATTGTGCTGCGCTGCGCCAAAAAGATTGTCGAAAAGTACATCAACATCGAGACGTCCAAAACGCCGCTGGACCTCCCCGAGCACATGCATGAGTTCCTCACCGACAACCTCGAGCACGTCGACCGCGCCTACTTCCACGACGCCGTGGCCGAGGTCATGGACACTCTCCGCTCCATTGAGCTCCCAGATTTTCTCGACTCGCCTCTCTTCATGGTACGCAGTTCGTATCTATGCGACACGAATGGACTCTGTCGTAGGTGCTCGTTGGGTCGTGGGTCACGATGGACCAAGCGTACGCGGTGCATCACCTCCACAACGACCTTGAATCAGCGTACTTTCGGCACCGGTTCCACTACATTTGCGAGGCCAAGAAGGAGAAAAACCGGGATGATGCGCTCGGGTAGTGTTGTGATTACGTTGTTATAAACCGAAGTATTTTCGCCGACATGCGCAACTACGCCTGGTGGCGACTGTCCTCGTCGTCGTCGACACCAACCCACGACTCGAAAGCCATGAGAAATTCCTAGCGTAGTGTCAATCGTGGTAGGGTCGACATAAAACCCGTACTTTGAACGTGATGCTACCGTCGTGGTCCCAATCCATTTCGTTGAAGCGCTTTTGCGAGATGAAGGCGTTGGCGGGGCACGTACCGCTGCTCTTGGTCGTCGAGCCCACTGACCTCGTCGTGAGCGACCGTGTATCGAGCAGGGGAACGTACGTTTGCGCACCTTGGACATCTTCTTCGTCGGCGAGTGCTCGTGCATGGACTCGGTCAGCCGACGCAGCATCTCCTCTCTATTTCGAAATGAGCGAGGCGGAAGACAGAACAACCTCGTGTACTTTTCAATGAGCCCGTCGCCGTCCATGTCAAACCAGAGAAAGACGTCGACCGCCAGCTGGAAGGCCTGTCGGAGCTTATTGCCCTAAGTCCCATTCAACCACGCTCGAAGCGGCATGTGGCGAGCCCACCTCGCCAAAGAGCAGTGTTTTCGGCTCTGCTTTCCCAGCCCTAGACGAGCCTCTTGTTGATGTTCATTGCGTGTCATGGGGCGTACAGCGGGGCGTAAAAGATGCTGAGCTGCGGCGTCTCTGTCGTCTCGAGCGCGGGTATCCGCTACGGGCTTCATTATTGTCATCGCTGAAGGAGCATGCACGTACGTGCAGGACAAAGCCCATGGCGAGGCAGACGAGGAACTCTTTGAACGAGAGCTGGCCGTTCTCGGCCATGTCGGCCTCGCTGAACGCTTCGTCGATCTCGGCTTTGGTAAAGTTGCCGCCGAGCCGATTAAGCGCGCTCTCCATGTCGTCAAACACGATGAAGCCTACGAGGAGTGTCGCTTCGGACGGCGCCAATGCAAGACGGACCTTTTTGCTGCTTGTCGAATTCGCGGAACGTGACGCGGACGCTGTCAAAGGCCTCCTTCAGCGCCGGACCCTTGAGCAAGATCTTGGTAAACGGATCGTGCTTGTCGCCGCCGTCGTGGTCCTTGCGCGCCTTGAGCTCTCGGAGCGCTTCCATGAGTCTACGCGCCGATGAGTCAGTAGCCGCAGCAGCTGATGATACTTGGAGTCGAGCGTCGACGACGCGCGGTGGGGCTGAACGACGATCTCATGCGCGCTCTCGCCTGGCTGCGCCAGCGTCCGGCGCCCGCTCGACCGACTGTTGCCCATGCTCTTGTCCGAACCGTCGTCGCAATATCGCGGTATCTTTCCATTGTGCCAAAAAAGGGTATCTTGCGAAACAAAATCGAGCCATGGGTTATTATTGACCCGTGATCGAGCCTTGAGGTCGACAGGGGCTCGTTTGATCAGACGCTACACCAGCACATAATTTTGCGTGTGCATCTTTGGGTATACAGCTCAAAACATTTCGGACCAAAGTCTCGCCCCTCCCTCCTCGTTTAGTACCAAGCAGTCATAGATCTCTCTTACATGGGCCAGTGCATACCCTTTTCTGGCATTTTTCAATATATTTGACCCTGTTTTGGCATTAGACAGAGACTAGCTGCCGAGAACGGCCAATTAGTTGGGACGATGGAGGCCAAGAAAGCGGCTGCCAAGAAGCCCGCCGGGGACGCGCAGCGTGGGAAGAAGCGTCGCGCCGGCGACGTCGGCGACAAGACGAAGACGAATGATGGGCATGGGCTCGGTGGAGCACAAGGCGCTGAGAAGGTCGCACGCGCCGGTGGGACACGGGCGTCGCCCTTGCGCCGCCTCAACTCGGGCACGCGCGAGGCTATGACACCGCCGCCATCGGCCATCAAGCCATTCATTCGAGGGGAGATGGCCGACAGCAGTACGTGTTTCCGATGGCGTCGCCATCGATCTTATGCCATTTCTGTGTAGTCAAGCACATGATGTATGGATTTGGTGATGCATGGGAGCCAGACAGCGACACAGTTGAGCTCATGGAAGAGATTACGATTGAGTACATCCGCTCAATGGTACAGAGCCGCTTGTGTTGGCATGTATCATCCTGCCCTGCGTAGACAAAGAAGGCGCTGGACCTCTCTATCGCGAAAGGCAAGCTCGATGCCGACTGCCTCATCTTCCTCGTTCGTAAGCACCCGGAGAAGCTCGAGCGCGTTAAGGAGCTACTTGCGGCCAACGAACTGCTCAAGAACGTCCTCAACAGCGGCTTCGACCCACTTGAAGAAAAATAATTTGAATGTGAGGGCGCGAAACATGCTAAAAAGTCTGGCAAACTGGACGCTGAAGGGATCGCTCCAAGGAACCACCTGCTGTGCACCCGAGAGGGGGCATCCAGCGCACTTTCGGCCGTTGTCGCTGACGCACGCAGTTGGTGCCTCCGTTATAGCGCACCGAGAAGGTACCATCGAACGCGGCATCGTGGGTCGTCGTGACATGCAGCTGCGGATCCACTGTGAGCGTGTATTGATAAGTCGGTGTCGCGCAGTCGGCGCAGGATTGCAGGACTGGCCATCGGTCCAGAGCACCGTCAACACGGACCCCGCAACCATCTGCATCGACGTGCATCAACGTTTCGATCGTTGGCGACGCGACATATTGCATTGCAGGTCCTATCTGCTCTGGGAGCGGTCTCGCGCCAAGTGGAAGTCACTGCCCAAAGAAGGGTGACGTGGCTGTCATGGACTGCATCCCAGAGCTCCGAAGCTACACACCCAGTGGCAAGTGCGTCGCCATCGCCGACACGACGTGTGAACGAATGCCGTCGGGAACGTTTGCATGCACTTAGTTGTTTGAAGGACAACAAGGCAGGTCTCCATTCCAAGAAACAGGCAACTGGACCCCAACTAGTACCAACAAATATATCCTGAGTGAGCAACTCGAAACATTCTTGCATCCGATACTTTCGGCCACTCTCGTTGCATTGTTGGGCCACCTTCCTAGTGTCAAGTACAATAGGACTTTGCCACAAGCATACATGACTATATTTTGCACATACTTGTCACACAACAAGGTTTACATGTACACGGCAGCCGCCGTGGCCGCCATGACGATGGCCGAAAGCCCAACCGAGACGGCCGAGCTTGGCGCTGGTGTCGGGGCATTGGTCTTGGTCTTGGTAGCCGTTGGTGCCGGCGTAGCGATCGTTGCGTTGGGCTCCGCGGTACCCGAGCCGGCACCAGTCGCCACTGGCGCCGTAGTCTTTTCGCTGGGCGCGGCCGTCGTTGTGTCAGGCTTTGTCGTGGTGTCACCGGCCGAAGTTGGTGCTGGCGTCTTAGTGGGGCCATCCGAAGGCTTGGGAGCATCCGTCGGCTTCGTCGGGTCCGTCGGCTTGGGCGCGTCCGTCGGCTTGTCCGTCGGCGAGTAGAACGCAGTCCAGCCCTTGATGGCCTGGTCGAAGGAAAGCTTGGCCGCGACATCCGACGTCGTGGGGCCCGTCTTCTGCGTCAGCGTGCACGGCGGCGCAATCGTGGCCATGTGCTTGGTGACGGTCGCGAAGAAGTTCTTGCAGTTGTCCGA